TCCAGGCTACTTGTTTACCAAGGACCACTGTTGGTTTTTGCTGTTATTTGGGGGGGTTTTTGTTGGTTTTTTTTTTATAATTTTCTTGAGAAACAAATAGCAGTGAGACAATTTTAAAACCATTTACTAACACAGTTTCAATATGGGGGGGTTATTTTTGAGACAGGGTCTCACTGTCCGGTTCGGGCTGGCCTTGTGCCTCACTTTTGTAGCCCCAGGCTGATCTCAAACTCGCAGCAATCTTTCTTTCTCAACCTCTGGAGTGCCGGGATTGTAGGCATGCACCACCACGTTCTGACCGGCACCGCACACCCCAGGCGCCGGGGATCAAACTCCGGACCTTGTGCTTGCCAGTTAGGTATGAGTTTTCTAGGCAGATATACAGTGTATTTTGCCCATAAAGGTTTTATTTATATTCATTGTTCTCTGTCCCTATTTACCACTGTAATTTCAATTATTTGTAAATATGTACAATGATGTGCACAAGCCTTCCATCTAGTTTCTCCTCAGCCCTACCAGACTTAACATTGGCTTCCTCTACCCTAGCTAAGCCGGCTAAATATTCTGCAAATATTTCTTTCCTGCTTGTTTATTTTTTTAAACAAACACATACAGAGTTCACTTGATTTCTTTAATTTTGTTCCTGAAGCCAAAACTGCACTCCATTTGTCCAAATAGCATAGACTGTATAGTTTATAAAGTCTGCTACATTTCACAGTTATTTTAAACAAGATAAAAACCTAAGATGTCATTGCATAATTAAGATGGTGGAGAAATTGCTGATGTAGCATAAACAGATGAAAAGTGAAAGAACATAAAGCAGGGTTTTAGGGCTTTGCTGAATTAATGAAGTTTTTATTTTTTGATTTGTGTTTGGTTGGTGTTTTTGCTGATGAAATAATGACTGGAATTGGTTTGGTACCATTTTAAGATACTGCTGCAATTTGGGTCCAAGGATCCATGTGGTGAGGTCTTGGCCCTCAGCACGGCCCTGCTGGGAGGTGAGGATGCCTGCAAGGACAGGGACTTAGGGGAGAGTTGTGGGTCATTGACAGTCAGTCCTGAGGGGGCTGTGGGTCCCAGGGGTCTGTGGATCCCGAGGGGGATGTGGGTCCCCAGGGGGGCTGTGCATCCCGAGGGGGCTGTGGGTCCCGAGGGGGACGTGGGTCCCGAGGGGGGCTGTGGGTCCCGAGGGGGACGTGGGTCCCCAGGGGGCTGTGGGTCCCGAGGGGGACGTGGGTCCCCAGGGGGCTGTGGGTCCCGAGAGGGCTGTGGGTCCTGAGGGGGCTGTGGGTCCTGAAGGCGGCATGGGTCCTGAAGGCGGCTGTGGTCCTGACTCCTTCTTGTCCTTTTTCCCACTTTCAGATTATTTAATACTTGCTAATGGTCTTCAATTTGTTAATTTAGTTTTTATTTTAACAAAGTTATTAATGCACATAGTTTAAAGTATAAGGCGCAATAGAGCCGGTGATATAGCTCTACTAAGTGCTTGCTTAATTAAGCACACCAGCACCCCCCTGAGCCAGCGATGGAGTCCAGGCATGGGGTCACACACCTGTAATCCCAGCACTGGGGAAGCAGAAATCAGGAGGATCGCTACAAGTCCAAACTGTGTAGTGAGACCCTGCACACACACACACACACACACACACACACACACACACACACACACACACAAACCACTTAAAAAATAAAGTATAAGGCCCATTGTGGAAGACTTCAGTCCTCAGCCACCTGCCCGCATTTCCCATGTGCCCTAGCAGGGTGGACTTCTCTTTCTTCCTGCCCTCCATCTTTCATTGTCACTGAAAGATGCCTCAGCCAGCTTAACCTAAAAACCCAAGATGACATGTTTCAGGGTCAGTGTCTTCCTCCCCCACCCGAGTGTCGCTTCAGTGTGCTCACAGGCATAGAGCGAGGCAGCTGGGGTAATGTCTACAAAGGCCAGCCTCTCGGGCTACGAGAAAGGCAGACAAACACCAATCCTAGTCATTTGATTTCTGGGCGCATGTCTTACTTCCCTCATGTTCTTTTCTTATATAGCATCCCACTCCTAAATGGTAGATGCAATTTCTTTGTCTTTTTTTTTTCTTTTCAAAGTTCTTTGTCTTTTTTTATTTTTATTTTATTTTATTTTATTTGGCAGAACCAGGGATTGAACTCAGTCCCTTGCGCTTGCCAGGCAAGCACTTATTCTACTGAGCTATCTCCCCGGCCACTCTTTTTTTTTTTTCCTTTGGCGGAACTGGGGATTAAACTCAGGCCCTTGTGCTTGCCAGGGAAGCGCTTATTCCACTGAGTCATCTCCGCAGCCCTTTTTCTTTTTCTTTTTTCTTTTTCTTTTTTTTTTAATTTGAGAAGAGTTTCACTACACAGCTGGACTCATAGTGATCCTCCTATCTCAGCCTCCTCAGTGCTGGGATTATAGGCGTGCACCACCACGCCTGGTCTCAGTTGCTGGTTCGTCACACCCAGGGTTCACAGCCAGCATGACATGCATTGCCAGGGATCAAACCCCGGTCCTTGCACTTGCCAGGCAGGTGCTTAGAACATGGAGCTATCGTCCCAGCCCACAGTTTCTTTCTTATGTCTGAGGATTTCTTTTCCCAGCATAGGCTCTCTGCTGCTCGAGTCCTTTTTTCTCTTCATTTTGGTCTATACTTTGCAGTTAAGAGGCCCTCCTGTGCCTGCTCCTGTTTCCCCCGGCGCTAAAAGTTACTGAGCAGCAGTGGGCTCCGGCGACTCCAGCGAGCTCGCACCTCCAGGTTCTGCTGCAGCTGGAGCTGGCGGAGGCGTTCTGTTCGGTGCCCCCGCATCCATCGCACTGGATCTAGTCTCTGAGAGTGACTGGATTCCCTGCAAAGTATTTTTCCTACGTCTCCTTGATGAATGTGCGCCTGATTTCAGCACTGCAAGAACACTGGTTAGGCGAGAAGGCGGGAAATGTCAGCGTCCCTGAGGTCGTCTTCCCCCTCCTCCTGCTGCCGGGCCACTTCTTGTGTTCACCCTGGAGGTGGGCGGTCCCGAGAGCCCTGTGTTCTAGCGCCAGGAGAGTAAGTGGGACCCTTCTGCGAGAGCGAGCCAGGGTCGGACTGTGTTGGAAGCAGCTTTCAGGCCGCCTTGTGCGCGGTGTTCCTCCTGCCCTCTATTTCAGGACCAAAGGAAGGTTCTGCTCTTGGCTTCCTGCGCTGCCAGAGTAAGGGTCAGATTTCTTCAGTGTGCTCACTTAGCTGTCACTTGCCTGTCGCTAGACACTCACTTTCGTCTTCTCCCTGGTCTCCACTTCCTTTTTTACCTTAGTAGGTTTGAGGTAATACATTCAGAGGCTGATACATGTCCCCAGCATGCCATCTTTTGTATGTAATTTTACAAGAAAAGTAAAATAACAGGCCTTTTATTTTTTGGCAGAACCAGGGATTGAACTGAGATCCTTGTGTTTGCCAGTCAAGCGCTTATCCTACTGAGCCATCTCCCCAGCAAGCCTTTTAAATATTGTTTCTTTATGTTGATCCTGGTGACAGGAATAATCATATGCCATGGGGTTCAACATACTCTGAAGGGTCTAAGATTTCAGGATGTTTGCACAAGTTTTGGAGGACCCTGCAGACCATGGCTGATGTCTGTAACAAGTGTTGAGTCCTGGACAGGTTGGAAAGGAAGCAACAGTAAAAATTCTCGTTTTAATTGTTTGTTATTGTCATTATTATTTGTTATGTTTTGCTAATTTACTTATCCATAAGACCAAACAGATTGGTCCAAATCCAAAATTCATTTTACTCACCAAGGCAGGTACAAGTTGGTTCCCTATCATGTTTAGGGGTTTCTCCTAACTCTTATTTCAGCCCACCCAACAGTCCCTGTTTTTCCCTAGAAGCGGCCGTACCTATTACTTTGAAGGAAAATTAAAGCCATCCAGCCTGTACTGTATCACCTATGTTGCTTGAATTGAAAACAAATTAAGAGAAAGTTCTCTGTACATTGACCATGATCTCTCCTTTGGTCCTATGTTAGAAGAATAATTATCCTTGCTTTCTAAAGCTAAATCCCAAGAGCTGCGCAGAATGGTATAGGGAAAAGCATGTGCAAAAGCCAGGAAACTTGGAAAGGTGAAGCTACGAAAAATATGGAGATGGGCTGGAGAGATGGCTCAGTGGTCTAAAGCACCTACTTGAAACAAGCTTGTCAAAGCACAGGGACCGCGGTTTGATCCCCCAGCACCACATGCCAGCCAGCCCCGCCCCCTGGTGGGCTGAGCTGGCCACACACACACACAATAAATAAATGTAATAAATAAAAAAAAAAGAAAAAGAAAAAAGAAAAATATGGAGAAAGAGATTGTGGTCTGTGGGCAAAGGGGTTTTAACCGAGCTTGATTTGGATACTGGTTTCGCCCTTGCTCCCTAAATGCGTTACTTCCCTCCAGGGCTTCCTCTCTTTGTCTGTACAGTGAGGGAGTGCCCAGCTGTGTCACAGGCTTGTGGTGCAATTCGGTAACTTGGACTAACTGCTGGCCTGCTGCTGCAACAGCTGGAGCGAAGCTACGAGGACAGGAGCTCCCTCGCGTAGGAGCAGGTCGTTGCTTGTCCTTTAGAATACACATCCGTGTGCGTCTCCGCCTCTCGCACTAACATGAATGTAAGCCCTGCGAGGTTAGGGCCTCTGTCCTCCCCGTTGTGTCCTAGACGCCTACCATATGCCCAACGCACGGAAACTAAATGTGTGTTTTATATTGAGCGAATCAGTAGTGAAGCCTCAGTTTATGCTGATTGAATTGATAAGTAAATTTACTTTTTTCTTGGTTTCTTGTATTTGAAACCTTCAGAGATCTTCAGAATGTTGTTAGGAATTAATTTTCTGTCTGTTTCATGTATTATTAATATTTTTAGTACATTAATTTGTGTTGTAGACTTTAGTGAAAGAATATGAGTGTGTGGCAATCTGTCTGTCTGTCAGCTGTTAACAAGCCATCAGTAATGACTGGCTTTTTAATTTCTGTTCAGGGAAGTGGTGCAAGCAAACTGCGTTCGCTGGAGAAAGAAGTTCTCATTTATGTGCAAGATGAGCGCGAGCGCCGCCACGGGCGTCCTGGACCCCTGTGTCTACCGAGTGTCTGTTCGGAAGGTATGGACATGGCCAGAGACGTTTCCACTTTCAGAGACCCTCATTGCGGTCCCAGAGTCGCTCACTCACTTTAGTTAGCTCTGCTTTCTTGTTGGAACTGTTACACTCTATGTAAAACTCCCTCTTACAGCAGGAGTTTAAATTCCTGTGGCAACTCTGATGAGGAATCTGAAGTTACAAATTAAAATATTCAAGAACATTTATCTCACTGTCACTGTACATAGAAGTATTAACCATATTTTGTATTAATTTGGGGACTGTGTAGATTGTGCCATTTATTAAAGTCCTATTCTTTCATAGGCATTGTTTTGGTATATATAACCTTGAAAGTAGGTGTTATTTTATATTTCTTAGGAAAACTAAGGGTCAGAGAAGTTATTTGGGGAGAGGGCCAGTGAAAACGGCGTATTCTCTAAGTTATTGTTACTGGTGAAATAAACTAGCTTTGAAATGTAAACTTTGTATACGTTTTTAAATTACCAGAACAATATGTGTAATGAGCAAAAATTAAAAAGCAAGTGATTTAATGAGTCCCTTGTCTTGCTCTTGCCCACTGTAATCCTGTACCCTTTAGAAGCAGATAAAAAGCTATTCTTTTTGCCATCTTATTCAGGTTTTGAATGAACTGATAACACTAGGATGTGCGTGACCATATTTTATGTGATTTTGTACTGGTTAAGCTACACCAAATTCAGGAAAGACAAGAGTGTCCACTATGACCACTCCTGTCCACTGTAACACTCCTGTCCACTGTGACCACTCCTGTCCAGGCACATACCAACAGCATCCACAGAAGTAGAGAAAATAAAACTTGAAACGCAGAACTTGGAACATCAGCCAGAATAATCAGGAAGAGAAAGAAATCAAAAGGAGACATGTAGGAAGGAAGAAGCCACAGTGTCATCATTTGCAGATGACATACCCTTTACATAAAAAAGCCAAAAAGTTCAACCAAAAGATTCCTAGAACTGGAGCCAGAGAGATAACTCAGTAGAATAAGCACTTGCGGGGCCGGGGAGATGGCTCAGCGGAATAAGCGCTTCCCTGGCAAGCGCAAGGGCCTGAGTTCAATCCCCAGTTCCACCAAAAAAAAAAAAAAAAAAAAAAAAGATTCCTAGAACTAATCCACAAATTCATCAAAGTAGCAGAATACACAAATCAAAAATGAGTAGAGCTCCTGTATACCAATAATGAACTCACCAGGAAGGAATTTAGGAAAATAATTTCACTCACAATTGCTTCAGGAAAAATTAAATACTCAGGAATCAACCTAACAAGCCCCGGGAGAGAGCTCAGCAGCATGCAAGGTCCTGTGTGTTCGATCCCCGGTAACAAAAAAAAAAAAAGGAATCAACCTAATGAAGGAGAAGACATCCATAACAAAAACTGCCCTACTCCGAAATGGGAGCAAAGAAGACATCAGCAGATGGCAAGGTGTCAGCTCTTGCTAATAGGCAGAGCCAGTACAGTCAGAAGGGCCATACCTGATAAGTACATTTAGCGCAAGCCCAAGCACATACCAACAGCATTCTTCACAGAATTAGAGAAAGCAGTCCTAAAATTCATGTGGAACCAGAAGGGACCCAGAATAGCAAAAGCAATTCTGAGGAACAAGAGCAAAGCAGAAGGTATCACAATCCTGGATTTCAAGGTACATTGCAGAGTTTCTGTGATTTTAAAATATAGCACAGTGCTACCACAAAAACAGACTTGTGGGCTAAGGGAACAGAGTAAAGGATACAGAAACAGACTCAGGCACGCCCAGCAATCTCATCTTTGACAAAGGGGCCAAGTACGTACACCGGGGAAAGGTGACCTCTTTAGCAGATGTGCTGGGAAAATTGGTTGTGCACATGCAAAAAGCCAACGCTACACTCGTGTCCCTCACTGTATGCTAACCTAAGATCAAATGGATCAAAAATCTAGCTATTACAGTAGAGGTAATCTGATGGAAGAGGAAATACACAAAACTCTTGAAAACATATGCGTAGGTACAGACTTCCTGAACAGAAGGCCAGTGACACAGGAAATAACATCGAGAATCGACAAATGGAAATACGTGAAAGTAAAAAGCTCCTGCCTAGCCAAGGCAACAGCCAACAGAGCAAAGCGACAGCCTACAGAATGGGAAAAGATGTTGCCAGCCATAGTTTGGAAAGACTGAATTATCAGCATGATAGCACTTCAAGGAAACTAGAGACCATTCTCTAATAAGGAAGCTAAAACTAAACACGTTGTATGTTGAAAAAAAAAAAAAAGCAAAGTCATAAGTTAGAAGAAAACATATTTGCAAATCATGTCAAATAACTAATTTCCTCAGTTTAGAAGGAGCACCTCCAAAGAATGATGTTATCAATAATCATTTAGAAAACAGCTGAGAGTGACAGAGTGTACATTTCAGAGTATCAACTTCAAACAAAACAAAGTATATTCCAACTTACAAATTAAAATTATGAATAGGATGCAATTTTTTAGTTATAAAGTCAGTGAAAACCACAAGTTTGATGACATGCTGATTCCCAGGCACAGCAAAGCCGTCACTGGTCAGCAAGTGCGTGTCTCCAGCATGCTACGCGTGTTCTAGGTGTTGGGGACAGCAGTGGGCACGATGAGGTCGCATCCTCGAGGACTTGGCCTTCAGGCAGGAGTTGGCCAAGGAGTGACAGTAAGGCCAGAAGGGAGCACGTGACCAAGATAGATTGTTTGAGATAGTGACAGTGCATAAAGTGCCACGAGGGGAACAGAGTTATTTGGAGAAGAGACCTCAGTTTAGAAAATTGCGGAAACTCAGTAAAAACGTAACTCAAAGGTAACTTTTGAAGGAAGCTAGCTACGTAAAGATGTAAGGAAGGGTTAGGGATATAGCTCAGTAGTACGCACTTGCCTAGCACTCACAAGCCCTCGGTTCAGTAGTCAGAAAACGCACACACCCCCATGAGACTTAGAGCCAGAGACAGATTACGGGAGTAAGACCTAAAAGCAGAAAGACATATGTGGGCCTATGTTTATAGCAGCACAATTTGTAATAGCCAGAACTTGGAAACAACCAAAATGCCCATCACATGTGGAATGGTTGAAAAAGATGTAGTACTTTTATATAATGGAGTACTACTCAGCTATAAAGAATGATAAACTTGAAGCCTTCATATTTAAGTGGATGCCCCTTGAAGATATACTTATTAGTGAAATAAACCAGACCCACATCTGTAAATATCGTATTTTCTCCCTAATATAAGGACTTACAATTCCGTATATGAGTAGGTTTCTAAATTTCTTTGTAAAAATATGTAAATGCTTATTTCTACTTTTATATAATGATTTTTCCTTTATATTCTATAAGGACTTAAAGTTCAACATATCAATATCTGATGGAAAATACCTGTTCGAGGATATGCCAAAATGTTTGATATTTCTACAGATACGATAAACCATACTGCATATATTGCAGGTTAATAATTAGCTTCTCTTCTGGAGGGTTAACAACCTAAGTTAGCAGATCAAAATTTGGAGAAAAGGAAGGGCTGCATGGTTAGCCAACATTTTGGCCCTAGCCTTTCAAGGTCAGTGAAGACTCGGGACATAGGAGAACCTGTACTGTAACAACACGTAACTCAGCTGTGCTCCAAACTTTCTGATCAAGAAGATTATGGAGCCACAGAGAAATGTGTTCGAGGATCTAAAGTGAGCCTGGGGAGAGTCACATGGAGAGAAAAAACATTTTCTCAAGCTTTCACAGAGAGCAAATTGGTCAAGCAATGGCCGTGACTCATCCTCAGGTCAGACACTAACAAAAGAATGTACAAAAGATGGTACAGGGCTCCAGGATAAATCCTGAGAGTACTTGGCTGACCTTATCAGATACAAAAGTTACAATTCTGGGTATACAGGTCTTGCTATATCTTGGTCTTAACCATCCAGCAGAAAAGTATAAAAATGAGGTATATAAAGTAAATCCATATTAATACGATGAGCTGTAAAAGGCTCAAGTCAATAACTTCTGAGGATAACCCACCAATATTATAGACTGCTAAACAGTGTTAGATGTTTAGTTGAATTCAAACACTTATAGTATTTAGACGCCAATAGAATATTCACCTCTGACAGGACAAAAAAATAAATAAATAAATAAATTTTTAAAAGGAAAAAAAAATGGAAATAGAAGCAGTCAATGCTCTAATTAGCTTCATCTCCTTTTTTTCAATTATTTGTACTTTTTCTTTTCTTAATTTCTTATACATTGCTCCAGTTTTTTCTTCTTCCAATATCTGGTAATATGAATAGCTAGTTGTAAGACAATACCATGTATTACAACAAATACTGTGAAATTCATATTACTTTGTTAAGTAAAATTCTGTATGAGTTATCAAAAAAAAAAGCAGAAAGACATTGCATTAGTTCCTAGGACTCATGACAAAATGCCGCAAACTAGGTGATGTTCTGGAAACTAGAAATCCAGAATCCAGATGTCAGCCAGGACGTGCCCCCCCCCCCCCCCGGTCTACCCTAAAGCTCAGTGTTGAACCGGCTGTGGAGACCATGTGTGGTGGCACACACGTGCCTCCAGGAAAGAAGCTGCTCCAAGCCTGTCCCGGGCTCTGTCGGGCTCTGTCGTTTCAGGTTGAGATCTGATCCAAGCCTGCCTCAAGGACCTGACTGCTGGCAGTCTGCACTGTAGGGGTCCTTGGCTTGCAGACACATCAGCCAATCACATGGTAGAGTTTAGAAAGAAAAGCAGTGGAGGGGGTGGAGTCCCAAGCCTGTCAAATGCTGTTCTGGAGTAGGAAGAATAAAGACAGACTTTGGCTTTTACAAAATTAAGATCAGTTTTCTTACTGAAAATTGTAAGAACTACTACAGAGGAGAAATGAGGACAAAAACCCAATTAGAGAGACTGCACAGAAAGGAGAATACAGTGGTCACTTTGGGGGGTTGGGAGGAGCCCACCATGTTGAATTTACCATCATCACATTTTTACTGTCCGTTGATACTAAGCATATGCATAATTTTAAACCTTTGATTATATGATAACCTTACAGTGTTTTCTATCTTTGGCAGGAGTTAAAAGGTGGAAAAGCTTATGCAAAGGTAAGTAAATTTTATTTTATTCTTTAGTAACTTGTAATGTAACTCTTCACTGTCTGTAGATTTAAAAATTATGTGACTTACTCTTCTCGTTGTTTGAGCTTAACTTTAAGTAAAGCAACTTGGAGATTGAAGGGTTGTATCCAACCATAAATGAAAGACATAGTCTAATTTCTTACGTGGGGTGTTTTTCTTCAGTTTTAGCTTCCTGCTGGAGAATGCTCTCTCGTTTCCCTGACGTTCTGTCTTGCTGATAATTCAGTCTCACCTGGGAAGCATTCCCAGGCCACCTCTCCTCACTGGGACAAGAGCTTTTCTGTGTTTCCTTGGCACACGGTGTACATTCTTCAGGTGGTATCTGCAGTGGATTGCTTCCAGGACCCTCACCAAGCCCAGAGTGACAAATTCTAAGGATGCCTGAGTCCCTCCGATAAAGCACCGTAATATTTGCATGTCACATACACACATTCTCCCGTAGGCCGTAAACCACTTCTGCGTTCCTCACGGTGATGTCACTGCAGTGTGATGTATGTGGCTGTCATGCTGCTTTGTTTAGACAACAGTGACAAGAAAGAAGTCTGTGCATGTTGCATGCAGTCACAGCTCTTTAACATGCTCCGTCCACAGCTGGTTAATTCACAGATGCAGAACCGCAAATACAGAGCGCACACGATACACTGCTACTGCACTTCATCACTTGAGTTAGCTACACGAAATTGCTAATGTGCTCTACTGTTGGCTGAGTAGGAAGGAGTAGTTACTAATACTTCCAGGACCCTACAGACTTCTCTTTTGTTTACTTTCTCTGTGATGGGAGGCATCATTCCAGCCACCCGAGGCAAGAACCTGGACTAGTTTTAACCACCAGACCAGATCTAGTTGGTTATTGTCACCTAGGATGTTCTTTGCTACAAACGACAGAAGACTTTCCTTGACTAGAGTTGTTTTCACCTCACAGGACAGGCAGATGTGGTTCTGAGCTGCTTGGTTCCCCCCAACCCCGACTAAGAAGCATCCCCAAGAACCTGTGTTCTTCTCTGTCCTCTGCCTGTCCTCTGGAGATGCCTGCTCTTGGCTTGCACCTCTCCTGAACACCAGATGCCTGGCAGTTGACATTTTGGTCCACACATTCACATATTGGAAAATTAAAATAGGAGCGATCCAGTCATTCTCTCACGTTTGGTCCTTAAGCAGCTATTTATTGCTTATAAAGGAAATTTAGCTAGCATATAAGACACATTTTGGTTCGCAGATATCTCTGCCACCTCACCTCTTGTGCACACCTGCCATTTGGAGTCACTCTCGTCCTCCGGCAGCACATGGCTGTCGTGAACTTCCTGGGTGGTCCCTGCTATTTCAGGAGCTTTGCCTTGGGACTCGCTGTTCTCGCCACTGCGCATGTGTTTCTGCCTCCCCTGTCCTGTCAACTCTTGTCCGGCTTCTTAATCTCTCCCCACTGAGAAGTCTTTTTTTCCTTTTTTTTTTTTTTTTTTTTTGTGGTACTGGAGATCAAACTCGGGACCTTGCACTTGCCAGGCAGGCACTTACGCTGCTGAGCTATCTCCCCAGCCCTTTTTTCCTCTCTTGTAATTAGATCTTTCTCGGTCACAGTACTCACCAGATTGTGCTATGGGAATTTCTTTTTCTGTTATGTATTATTAACCAGGAGCAGGAGGATGATTCGGGATAGGCTGGAGGTGGTGCGTGGAGGGAGAGCTGTCACAGGATGCGCAAGGCCTGGGCGCAGTCCCCAGCTCTGGGAGAAACAAATGCTGTGTTTCCAATTTTTTAGTAAATTAACATCTACACAGATATAGCTGGATGTGTACCTGTGTATTACAGTTTTGAAGTTATCTTGGTAAAACCAAGGAGAACATGCACGGTCTGATACCTCACTACAGTGAAGCTGTTTGAAGCTAGGGTATTTGTTCTCTCTTTTTGCCTTTAAAACAGCCTGGCACAAAAAGGCGCTCAGTAAATACTGACCTCACTCATAACCTTTAGGCTCACATCACATCGACCTGTTCAGCCCTTTAACCGGTCTCCTTAGTAGAGTTACCAGTCGGGGCGGCGCCAGCGCGTTGCCTCAAGCAGCACACGTCGCCTCTCAGGTCTCCAGAGGCTGCGAGGCCCGAGGTCAGGGGCTGGCAGAAGCCAGAGTTGCTGAGAGCCCGTGCCCAGGCCGCTGGCTGCCCGTTGGGTCCTCCGGCAGAGAGCAGGGAGAGAAGCAAGCTCTGTCCCGTCTTTGTAAGGGGATTAGTCCAGGCAGGGCGTGCAAGGCAGGGGTGGAGCGTGGCCTCAGCGCGCACAAGGCTGCGCATTTTCCCCAGCACCAAAAAAAGAAAAACAGAAATACCTTACACCTGAGGATTCCATTCTCGTGACCTAATTCTTCCCAAAGGTAGCGCACACATCGCTGATACCCTTTTGGGAGTTAACAGTTTGAATCCGTGAATTTTGTGGAAGCACAAACACACAGTCTAAGAGACTAATCAGATTTTTTTAGTGGGATGGCGCAGGCCTGTAATCTCAGCACTCAGGAGGCTGAGGCAGGAGGATCAGCCTGGGCTACAAAGTGAGGTCAAGGCCAGCCTGAGCTGCATAGCGAGAACCTGTCTCAAAAAGACCAAAAAAAAAAAAAAAAAAAAGATTTTTTAATTTAGTGACAATATTAGTATCATGACAGTGAATGGTAAGACAAAGTGCTATATTTTATTCAAAAAATGCATAGTAAAGGCCCAACGTGTGCCATTTTTTTCGGGCAGTCATTGTTTTTTGTTTTTTAATGTATTTGGTTCAGGGTCTCACTGTGAGCATGAATCATAGTGGTTCTCCTGTCCTCAGCCTTCCAGCACCACCACGCCCAGTCTCCATGGCCGGCTCAGCGTGCCTAGGAACAGGGCTGGTGCCGCGTGTGGTGCAGGGGGTCGAGCCTTCGTCCCTGCACTTGCCTAAGCAGGTGCTTGGTCCACTGTGCTGTCTCGCCAGCCCTTGCTTGTGGTTTTTTGTGGGTGTTGTGTTGTGTTTTGTTTTCCTGGTACCAGGGTTTGAACTCATAACCTTGCACTTGCCAGGCAGGCTTATGCCACTAAACTGTCTCTCCAGGCCTCCTGGTGTCATTCTAAGTAAACACAAAACAGACAAAAATGTCCTTTGGGGACTTAGGTTCTAACGGGAAGTAGAGGGATGAGGCGCAGACAAGCAAATGTGACGTTCTGCGTGGGCATGAAGTGATAAGAAGTACTAAGGAAAACGTACGGCAGGCAGAGCTGAAGAGTGATAACTGCAGACGAGGAGGGATAGTCCGCAGGCCCGTGGAACAGACGTGAGTGGAGTGACAGAGCGAGCTGCAGGACCCCCGAGGGTTGGAGAAAGCGAGTTACAGGCCTTGCGGTGACCTTGCCTTTAAGGAGCAGGACGTGTGGCTGACAGAGGGAGGAAATGAAGCTGACCAAATGATCAGGGACTGCAGAGTTGGGGACAGTTGAACCAAGACCTTTTGGAAGTTTTGACTGAGGCAGGGGAAAGAAAAATCCAAGGGCCTAGGGAGAGAGGTGGGATGAGGTTTGCTTTGGTTCTGTTCATTAAGAAAGGCAAAAATTCAGTGCATTTATGTGTTAATAAGAACAGCCCAGGCACAGTTGTTCTTTTGGGTTATATTTTCTTTTAAAGTGTCTATTTGAGACAGGCTCTGGCTGTGCAGTTCAGGCTGGCCTTGAGCTCACTTTGTAGCCAGGCTGGTCTCAAACTCTGAAGGATACTCCTGCCTCAGCCTTCCGAGTGCTGAGATGACAGGCATACACCACTATGCCCAGCAAGATAGGAAATTTTTAGAAAGCCAAAGAGCAGAAGGAACTGCTGAAGTAATGACCGTGAGTAGGTGGGAGCAGTCGGCCTCAGGAGCACAGCCAGTTTGCCCGTCCTTCTGTGAGGGAGAGACAAATAAATGTGCGGTGCAGGGGCAGCCAGCGGAGCAGAAGTAGGAGCTTGGAAGTTAAGCGCTCTTTTGATAGCTCTTATTTTCTGCCTGAAATAGGAAGCAAGGTCATGGGGCCCAGGAAGAACAGGAAAGAGATATCGGAGGTTCAAAGGCAAAGGGGGAACAGGTGAGGTCTGTGTGTGACCATATCGAGAGAGACAGACAGACAGAGGCAGGCAGGCAGACAGACAGGCAGGCAGACAGAGAGTGCATGTTTGGGATGCTGAGAGAAGAAAAATGGTTTGTGCTTCAGAAGGTGCATGACTCCCAGGGGAGCTGAGAAACCTGCGGCTGTCTGCAGGACGTGGGGCTAGCAGCACGGAGCGAGAGCCAGCACAGAGAACCCGTCTCTTTGGGTATGCACATGGTCGGGATTGGTTTGCTGGTGTTTTCCACAGGGTGGTGTGCCTGCCCCTGCTAGGCGCATGCAGTGATTTTAGTTGTGTGATACACGGTAGTTTTACAACAGTGATGTATTTATTTTCGTATACATAGGAAACTGTATGTCACACATCATACCTGTGATATCAGAGATCCTGTGCTTACGGATAAAATAGGTAATAAGTTCATTTACAAAACAAATTCAGAGACACTTAATGAGGCAAATAAAACAACAGGTATTGTTAAGATGGCAGAGACTGACAGTGCAAAAGACTTGTCTAGGGAATGGCTTGAATATTGTAAGGAGACTACGATAAACTAGATATTCTATTAATACAAGTCTGTTTCTTTTCATAGCTGGGCTTTGCGGATTTGAACCTGGCAGAGTTTGCTGGATCAGGATATACCACTCGCCGCTGTTTACTGGAAGGCTATGATACCAAAAATACAAGACAGGATAATTCCATTCTTAAGGTAAGCACCCTTCAGGAGTTGCATGCCAACAGATGGGGCCCTGCGTTTCAGGAATCACAGGTATCTCTGAAGGACAACATGTGAATCAGTCATGCGATCACGAGCCAGTCCTGCCAAGGAAGTTCCACCAGAGGAAAAACCTCCCCAAGTCAAAGACGCAATGGAAGAGAGCAAGTGTCGGCCTGCCTGACCCTCTCTTGTCAGTGTTAGAAACATTTAGGGAATATACAACTCCTACAACAAAGTTGCTCATTTGAGCACAAGAAAATGAATAAAGATGTTAAAGTGGTTGTAGCTTCCAAAAAGGTGAATTCCATCACAGCAGCTGTGATGCATCCGTGGGAGTCACTGGGACTTCAAGTGACAGACAAAACTCACCCCGGGCAGCGCCCCTATTTTTTCCAGATGCCATCAGGAGCCATGTGTTCTGGGAATCACCTAGCACCTCCTCCTTGCTCGGTTTTTCTTTCCATCCCTCCCTCTGTCCTCTCCCTTAGGAGACTTTACATTAATGGGAGTGAGCTACTCTCGGGAGCTGTGAATTTGAAAACAAAGTTAAACACTTCCGACATTCAAGATACACACATTGATTCTGGCAGTGATTAACAGTTGATACAAAGGGTTGGGACCAAAGCAAATCAAAACGCAGAAGAACAAACATTACTCCCTGTAGTTCCGTGTCTGGCATCTGAAGCAGTTGGTGACGCGTTGTGAGCTCCCAGGGCTCGCGGGACTCCGCTCCTGTTGCGCTTCTGGCAGTCACAGCTCCGCGGCTTCTCTTAGGCCCGCTCTGCTCCCTCCTTGCAGCTCGCCTAGAGGATCCACGTTCCTGGCTGTTCCAGACTTATGGGGTCTCCACTCCTCCTTTGGCTTCTCACTCACGGCTGCAAACACTGCCCTCTTGGGCCCGCTGCCTGGCCTCCCCGGCCTCCTGAAATCAGGGTGGAAGCCTTCTTAACCCCACAGCTCTTGCATTCTGCATGCACCTAAAGCCAGCGCCACGTGGCGGACGCCAGGGTCTGCAGGCAGCTGGAGCAGGAGCCAGGCTTTCCTGTCTCGGCCATGGGGCTTGAGCGCCTGGATCCCTGGGCATTGTGAAGCCAGTTCTGAGGAGCGGATTCTCTGTGCCGCTGCCGTTCTGGAATATGATGCTGTGCAGCTCCCTTCTCAGAGCGAAGCCTTCCACTTCGGCAGCTTTGAGGCTGCAAAGGGCAGAGACCAGCTGCTTGTGACGCCCTCAGGCCACCTCGGCCATGGAGAGCTCCTAAGCTCTGTCTTCGCAGTCCAGAGCTTTTCTGGAGCTTTCCTTCCAGCCAAACACACAATGTTTTTTGTTTTTGTTTTTTTGGGGTTTTTTTTTGCTCCGAATGCCCTCAGGGGTGGTTTGGCTGGCTGGAGTGTTGTGGGGCTCGAACTACAGCAGCCTGAGGCTGACAGCTTTGTGGAAGCAGCCACTTAAACTGAGCTAAGGCCAGGCCCCACACACAATGTTTTAAATCATTCTGCTAGGCTTTTGGCTCTTGATTCTCAACATAAATCTGGCTAAAAGCCCCCAACAATAGCCATGCTACCACCTCAGCATTTGACTACCTTGAAATTTCTGTTGCCAGATTAATTAGTCTGCCACCCTCAATCTCAATCTCAGGCAATCTCTGGACACGAGCAGAATGCAGACAAAGGTTCTGCCAAGCCACAGCACACATCATCTGGAGTCCAGCAGCCAGGGCAGGCCTTCCCAGCAGAAACCTCCTGAACATGCTCTTTGCTGGCAGGATTTTATCAGCATTACAGTCCTTTGAGCCCTGGCCAGAACCTCCCTACCGAGCAGCCTGCGGCGCCAACTCTGCCCTCCCAGGTCGCGTCTCAGAACCTTTGCAAGCCTCCCACAAGCCCTTTCCAAAGGCTCTTAAACCACGTGGTCACAGCCAAGTCCTACTCCTCTGGTACCAAATTCTGTGTTGGTTACTTTTCTCTCATTTCTCAGACAAAATACTAACTGCCAAAAATTAGAAAGGAAATATTTACTTAGCTCACAGTTCATGGAGTGTGCATAGTCAACAGGCTCCAGGGCAGGGTGGAACAGGACACAGGCAGCGGTCCAACGGTCCAACGCAGCAGAAGACGGCAGGAGCACCAGACACAAAGGGAGGGGCAAGCCCCTGTACATAGTAAGCAGGCTGCGCCGCCCCAGGGCAGGTGTAGCCCTGCCCCATCTCCCTGCCCTCCTCTTGGGTGGCATAAGGAGGTTCAGGAAGTAAGGGTCCTGGCTCCCTGCTGGGTCCTTTAGTTAAGCTTCTAAACTTCTCAAGTTGATACACTATATCAACATGACTATCACCCTGGAAAAAAACATCAAGACCATGAAGATTGGGCCGTGAAGTCTGGTATTCAGATCTCATCATGCCCTCTGCTACCTCCCTGATCTTGAAAGTATCATTGTTTCTCTAGGTTTAAAATGAGAGTATCAGGCTGGCCAAATAGCTCAGCGGATTAAAGCACCTGCAAGCAGGCACAGGAGCTGGGGGTTCAATCCCCGTGCCTGCCATGCTGGCCCCACTCCTGGAGCGCTCTGAGACAGCAAGTGAGACTGGGCGTGGTGGCACATGCCTGTAATCCCAGCTCTTGGGAGGCTATAAATAGGCAGATCACGACGAGTCCAATCTATTAATGAGACCCCGAACACCCTGTAGACCCTTCCCTAAGATACAAAAAAATAATAAATAAAATGTGACTAACACTCTCTTATTCATAGGCATAGTGAAGATTAAATGAATTGCTACATGTAAAACATTTTGCTGGGCCAGGGAGACGGCTCAGTAGAATAAGTGCTCGCCTGCAAGCTCAAGAGCCTAAGTTCAATCCCTGGTTCTGGAAAAAAAAAAAAAAAATTGTTTATTCTTGTCACCTTATAAATTCTCCACTCATGATCTTTGTTAATGATGATGTTGTTACCATTATTTTCCCATAAGAATGCAAAATGGGCCAGGTGTGGTGGCACACGCCTGTACTCCTAGCACTTGGAAGGCTGATGCAGCAGGATCTCAGTGAGTTCAGGGCCAGCAGCCTGGGCTACATAGCAGTACCGTCTCAAACCCAAAAAGAAAGTGAAATAGTCCTTGCATAAAGGTCATCAGCAATCAGAGAGCAACATTTCGCAGGGCATTAGAGAAGCTTTAATCTAAAGCTAGGACAAAGGCCAGAATCCGTTCTCAAGCCACCCGCAGGCGTCCTACACAGCATTCATGTGGCCGAGTGCAAGGGAGCTTTACCAGATACCTCAGCACGGCAGGCGTCTGGGAGTAAGGACACAGACCAGTCGTGCAGCTGCACACCCCCAGGAGGGAGCCACTGCTGGGCACCTGCTTCTTGTCCTCATCTCTTCCACTCTTGATTTTTGAAATCATAGGGCCAGCCAAATAGCTTAGCAGATAAAAGCACCTGCTTAGGCAGACGCAGGGGTCAGAGGTTCAATCCCCGGCCTGCCATGCAGGCCCCGCCCGCAGGGCACACTGAGATGGTGATTGAGATTGGGCGGGTGGTGCAAGCCTGTAATCCAAGCGCTTGGGAGGCTAAAAAGAGAATCACTACAAGTCCTATCTGTGTAGTGAGACCCTGTAGACCCTGCACCAAATACAAAGAAAAAAGAAATTGTAAAAAGAAAAGAAAAAAGGGGCTGGTGAGATGGCTCAGTGGTCTAAAGCACCTACTTGAAACAGGCTCAGCAAAGCACAGGGACCACGGTTCGATTCCCCAGCACCACATGCCAGCCAGCCCCGCCCCCTGGTGGGCTGAGCTGGCCACACACACACACACACACACACACACACACAAATAAAATTAAATTAAAAAAAAAAGAAAAAAGAAATTGTAAGATTTTGAATATTAAAATGATTTTAACCTGTCAATAGGAAATAGTTATTTTGATACGGCTATAACCCAGTTCAACAATCATCTTACGTAATTTTTTTTTTTTAAATAGAAAATACTGGACTACATACTGTTTGGGAAGCATAGGTTGAGAGAACACAGCTTCTAGTCTCAAAAATCTCTTATAATATTTCTTGTTCTTATGTTTAGGTTTTGATCAGTATGCAACTGATGTCTGGTGACCCGTGTTTTAAAACGTAAGTTGATACCCAGTAAATACACTCACCTGAAAGTATAACAGATTTGCTTAAATGTTTATGTTAGTATTTTATAGTTTTTTCAGGCAAGTAAATCCTTTCCTGGGAGACTGACCTGACCCTCATAGAAGTTACTGTTCCCTCTTACCACATGACCCCTGTATGCTCCAAAAGTACTTCAGTTGTAGGTCTTTCATCATTTTCAGGCATTGAGTAAATGTATAGTGTTTGAAGTAGTGGCATAATCCAACTTCTTCTCCTACAAATGAGAAAAACTAACGCTCAGAGGAATTGAGTGGCTTGATGCAATCTGGGCGTAGCACAAATAGTTGAGTCGCTGCTTGCGGAGTTCATTCTGCTATTCTCACTGCTTTTGTCTAGTCTGAAATTTTTCATGATTCAAAAAGAGGGAGACTATAAAGAGTACAGCTTGGGTCGGGCAGTGGTAGCGTGCCTGGCATGCGTTAAGGCTCTAGGTTTAATCCTTAGAGCACACACAGAAGAGTGCAGCAGATCTTTAGTGTGCTCAGATTCAACTTCTAGTTTTAATATTTTAGGAGGAGGAGATTTGTTATGTAGATTGCATATGTTTTCTGAAACCCAAATTTTACACTATAAAGCCAGTGTTTATGTAGAAAGACAACCAGCCAACCTAGCCGCCCACCCATAACCGCTGTAGTTCTCTACAATTTATCGAGTAGCCGTCAGCTCTTGTAAAATGGTGAAGCTGATCTGATAACTGCTTATGAAGACAAAGGGTGCTCCGAGAGAGAAAATGTGTGTTATAGTTGCATAATCTGGTGAAAACGAAATCCAGGGATGGTATAATTCTCTTCAGTAGCAAAGTTCTAGAGCCTTCGTATTCTAAAAGAAACAAAGCACATTTATCAAAGTGATTTCATCAACAGTACTGTCTCCCAGTGCAACCTGGAAGCATCTCTGAGACAGTGAGGCGCCAGGCGTGGGGCAAGCCGCTGACTGGTCCAGAGTGCCGGGATTCCCAGCTGCTCAAGGGCTTCCGCGCCGGTCCGCCTCTGTGTGCCGACACTCACCCTGCCCGATGAGACGAGGCCAGGCCCTGTGCCGTTCTGTGGAAGACTTACAGCATGACAGTCGCTGAGGCAGAGAAGATAGGCTCACTAGCCACTGTCCCTTGAAAGCCCAGAAAATCTCTGGGCAGGTGACACTGAGCTAAGTTTTCAAGGCTAGATAGGAATTTACTAAGCACTGGAGGTGGGTGGAGACATGTCAGGAAGAGGAAACAGTTGGCACAAGCTCACGGCACTGCGGTGCTCGCAGGGCAGTTACGGATCATCTAGTAGGTAGTGTTCTCATTTTAGGGGGTCGTTTTTATCTGCCACTGGGCCGCACTTCCAGCCTCCTTGAGCATAATCTTAACTTTCTTCTAAAATTAAAATAATCCCATCTCTTTTGTTCTATAACTTAATAGAACTTCTATTAGTTCAAGTGATAGGTCTAGACCAGGCCTCAGAGGGTGTGTGCCAGCCTCATAACTTGACGTTTACCCCAGAAGAGCTACAGAAGCGTTTAAAACCAAGTCATGTGTTCCAGGGCGCATTTCGGAAAGCGCAGTAACAGTAGCCGGGCTGGAGCTTGCCAGGCCGTAGGCGACTCAGTCAGTCCCGCAGAAGAAAGGCTGAGGCTCAAGTCGTGGGCTGATAGAGGAAGAGGAATGATGAGCAGACAAGGTAGTAAAAGAGAGTGTGGGATCTGGAAATTGGTTAGACAGATACAGGGAAACTTGAGTAGGAAGGGTACAGAAGCAGTATCTAGGACTCCAGTTCTGGCGGCTTTGTAAATGGTGATGGCATCCACGGAGACAGAGACTGCAAGAAAAAACTGGTTGGAAACCAGGAGAAAAAAAAGAGTTTGGTTTTGGGAATATATAGTTTTATATATGCCCAGGAAAAAATACTGGAAAGTGCCCTAAAAAGGTATGTGGGGGCTGGGGAGATGGCTCAGGGGAATAAGTGCTTCCCTGGCAAACGCAAGGGAAATCAATCCCTGATTCCGCAAAAGAAAAAAAAACAAGTATGTAAGTCTGAAATTTAGGAGACTCTCAGGTGGAAATAGTCTATAAATTAAATAAATTTGATGACAGTGTTTAGTTTTTAAATATTTGTTAACATGGAGTAATTGTATATATTGTGTGATTGTATTAGTGGGTTTCGGTGTGATATTTCAGTACACGACTGCAATGGGTACAGATCAAATTCGGAATCCCTCTAGGACGACAGTCTTAAATATGTGCCCAAGAACCTGAACAGCCCGGGGAAGCCATTGCGATAATACAGCGAAAATGTAATTGCTGTGAAGTGGGTCGGATGCATCCTCCCTCCAGTCCTTTCTAATTTTATTATCTCAGGGTCATCAAGAGGTAGTTTCTAAGAAGGTGCAATTCTCCCTGAAATAACAGACTTACAAAGCTATAGGTGTTTTATAAGAAAATATTCTTGTGTAAAAAATAATAACTATTATTATTAGGACTCAAAACATCCCTTCTGCCAGCCAAATAGCTCAGCGGATTAAAGCGCCTGCAAGCAGGTGCAGGAGCCAATGGTTCAATCCCCAGGCCTGCCATGGTGGCGCATGCCTGTAATCCCAGCTCTTGGGAGTCTGTAAACAGGTGGATCACTCCAAGTCTGATCTGGTACTGAGACCCTGAACACCCTGTAGACCCTTCCCTAAAAAAATTTTTTTAAAAAGTCCCTTATTTTGCAGTTTCCATTCTAAACAGAAGCTTTGAATTAGCTATAAAAATAGACCCATCACCTACTCCCAGAGATCCAGCCCAGAAAGCAGCCTAAATTCCTGTAGATTCTCCCTGGGCAGGGGAAGTGTTTACTCGGAGGGATGGACACTGAACCAGGGGTACTGAAGATTCTGTAAGAATTTAGGGGCGGTGGTACAAGGTGTTCTTCTTCTGACCTTAGGGGCAAAGGGGCCCAGAGGCTCCTTCTGAGACTTAGACGCCTCAAGTCCACATTGAGCTGACAGCAAGGCGCCCTTCACTGCCGGCGCTGGGTGCACACTCGGGGAGGACTCTGTGGCCGGCTGCTCTCTCCTCTTACCATCATTTTATATACAGCGCCTTTATTCACAGTGAATTTTATTCAGGCTTTTTAAAAGATGCTTTTCCTGGCCTGATGTGGCAGGCACCTGTAATCCCAGCACTCAGGAGGTTGAGGCAGGAGGATTGCCGCAAATTTAAGGCCAGCATAGGCTACAATGTGAGTCCAAGGCCAGCCTCAACTACATAATGAAACCCTATCTCAAAAAAGTTTTTCCTTGTGATTTTTTCCCTTTTGTTGGTGTATTTTTGTGAGAAAGATAGTAATATATTCACTTTGGGGACTTGGCACAGCCACGTAACATGCCAAGATTGCTTTTTGACCTTCTGGCCCACCCCGAATCCCCTCCCCCAGCACCCTTTCCGGGCTCCCAGTCTGCCTTCTCACTTCCTGCCTTCTCTTACTCATTTGTATTTCAGGTTTCCCGCATGAGAGAAGCCATGTGGTATTTAACCTTCTGAGTCTGACTTATTCCACTTGACATTATGCTCCCAGGTTCCATCCACAGCAGATGACATGCTTTTGTTCTCTATGCATAGCAGTGCTCCATTGTACATGGATGTCATGTTTCCTTTATCTGTTCATCTGTTGGTGGACATATAGGCCACTTCCAGGCTGTAGCTGTTGTAATATGTGATCTTTCTCCTTCACTGTATTGATGTAATCTATTGTATTTGAGTTACATATGTTGAACCATCTTTGCATCCCTGGGATAGAGCCAGCTTAGTCATAGTTTATGATCTTTTTATGTTTGTTTGGTTTTTTTTTTGGTGGTACCAGGGATTGAACTCAGGACCTTATTCTACTCAGCTATCTCCCCAGCCCCTTTATGATCTTTTTAATGAGTTATTGAATTCTGTCTGAAAGTATCTTATTGAAGATTTTTACATTTCTTTTCATCAACAATATTGGTCTATAATTTTCTTTTTTTGGTGAGTCCTTACCCTGTTTTGTTATCAGCGTAATGCTAGAATGTAGAATCATTCCTTCCCTTTCAATTATATGGAATAGCTTAAGGAATATTAGTGTTAATTCTTCTCTAACCACCATATGAAGACATTTCAGCCAAATTGTCTACTAATCTTATATAATACGCAGTTATTGGTTGTGTATAGCACGTTATAGTCAGGATAAGTTCTTGTCAACATAACTGTCACCCACCAAAGTTGGTGTCTGACAAAAATCAGGAGTGAATCCACCAGGTCCTGGGTTTTTCTTTGGTAGCATTTTTATGATTACATCAGTTTCATTGCTTTGTATTAGTCTTTTCAGGATTTCTGTATCTTAGTGGTTCAACTTTCATAAGTCATGTGCGTCTATTCATTTCTTCTAGAGTCTCCAGTTATTGAAACACAAGTTTCTAATAATTATCTGGATTATATTTTGGATTCTGATATTTCTATTGTAATTCACCTCTTTAATTTATAATTTCATTGATGTAGGTGTTCTCTTTCACTTCAGTTAAATTCAGCTAAGAGTTTATCATTCTTGTTTATCTTTTTAAATAATCATCTCTTTGATTCATTGAGCCTTTTTATTTTTTGTAGTCACTTTCACTAATTGCCACTCTGGTCTGTACAGTTTCTTTCCTTCTATTAGTTCTGGGTTTTGATTGTTCTTGTTTTCCTAGGACTTTCAGATGAATCACTAGGTTATTTATTTGGAGCTATTTCTAAGTAAGTACTCAAGAGCTATAAACTTCCCTCCTAACACCTCTTTCCTAGTACCTTCCACATCCGGTATCTTGTACTTCCCTTGGCTTTGTAGATAATGTTGTCTTCTCGTCCCAGTTTAGGACCGCCTTAAGCATTTCCTGCAGTTCTAGCATTGTGGTCATGACTGTCTTTAGTTCATCTTTATTATGGGATGTCTTTTTTTTCTCTTTCTCTTGATTTTGAAGGATATAGGATCTGGGCTGGCAATCATTTTCTTTTAGGGCTTGGAGTTTCATCCCGCCACATCCTCCTGGGCTTTAAGGTTTGTGGTGAGAAGCCAGCTGTTGCTCTGCTGTGTTTCCCCGTGCCAATCATTTGGCACTTCTCTCTGGCACGTTTCAGAATGTTCGCTTTGTTCTGAGTTTCTGGCAGTTTGACTGTGGTGCATTGTGGAGAGGTTCTTTTCTGGTTGTATTTTGGGTTCTAAATGCCTCCTCCTCCTTGGTACCAATTTCCTTACCTACCTTTGGGGAATTGTCTGCAGTATTTCACTGCCTAAGTTCTGTATTAGTGCCCTTCTTCAAATTCAGTGTTCCTTGAATTTGTCCTGCAGGGTCCTGGGGAGCTTTTGGATGGTCTTCTGATTGCCTCTTGTTTTGTCATTGTTACCACTACATGAACTTTGTCTTCAAATCCTAGTATCTGTTCATCTGACTAACCTTGCCTTCTGAGACACTCAGTTGTGTTTTTTATTTCCAGAGTATTTGCCTGATTCTTTTTCACAGCCTTTCTTTTCTGAGGTGGCTATCTAGCATAGTCTTAGTTTATTCAACTGGCTCTTTGTACAGTGGACCACTGACTTAAAACTCGATTCATTCCCAAGGGCTGGTTGTAACTCGGGGTGTCAGGGAAGGCGGAGGCTCCTTTACACAGCCTTGCTAAGTCTCCCTGCTGTACTCAGGCAGAACTCAGTATCCTCAGAGAAACATTTGTCAGAGATTTTTCATTTAGCCCCACACCAGAAAGGATGTTGTCATGTTCCTTCCAGAATTCTTTAAAGGTTAAATTTGTATCTGAGACCATCAGAAAACACAAGAGACCAGCATTGAGGTCATAACTCAAGATTTTGGTCATACGTTAAAACTAAAATTTGGGTTATAACCCACATTGTTCATATGTCAGGCCAGTTCTAACTCCAGGGTTCACCCTGTCTGCTCTAAGCTCATTGATCATGAGCCAGGGAGATGGCTCAGTAGAATAAGCACTTCCCTGGCAAGCATAAGGGCCTGAGTTCAATCCCCGGTTCCACCAAAAAAATAAAATAAAAATAAATACATAAGCTCATTGATCGTCTTAGTAATTGATTCATTCAGCTGCTTACGGTCTTTGATCTCTTTAATCATTTGTAACTATTAGATCTGTTTTCATTCTTCAGGGTTACATCCATGTCAGTCTGTGGGGCCAGAATTTGGGAGTTAAGATTTTTGGAGGCATGTTGTTGCTTTATTTTTTCATGATTCTTGGGTGTAAGTTTGTAGATCAGTTGGGATAGAAAACTGCGGCATCGTGGTGAGGCCTTTAGCAAGTGGACTTCTCCTGTGACACTCTGAGTGTGGGTCAGCTTGAAGGTAGCCACTCGGCGTGGGCAAAGTACCGGGCTAGATCCCTAACGCAGCATTATGACGCAAGCATGACCGCAGCAATGCCAGCATCCAAAGAACCATCCACGTATCACCATAGAACTTAAAATGTGTTTTTAAAATCCTCAGCTCTTTCAAAAACCTGAGGACAAAGGAATGGTAATAATAAAGGATAGGCTAAGAAACAGAAGAAAAAATAAGAAAAAGAGAAGGAAAGAAAAACTAAATTTTGATGATATTGTTTTTATCAAATGGGGGAGAAAGGTTTGAAGAGACTCCAAAGAGGAAAGAAAAAAGAGAAAAGAAAGTGGGTGGGCAGGCAAGCAGGCAAACAAAGCAAGTATAAATGGAAAGTGAGATATAATATGTAGTGCTTGAATCAAGTGAAGAAACCAGCAGAACCACAAAGCTAGATACCCAAAGAAATGACCTTTGGTGAAGAGAACCTGACAAGCCAAGATAAGACACTGTAGAGTCAAAAGCAACAATTCACACTTATATGCAGTTGCATATACACACATAACAAACCGTGAGAAGATAACTTTTAATGATAGTCCTTGCCAGACATGGTGGGGCATGCCTGTAATCATAGCAATTGGAAGGCTGAGGCAGGGGGATCCTTGTAAGTTCAAGGCCACCCTGAACTGCAGTGAAACCCTATCTCAAAAAAAAAAAAATGAAATAAAATAAAAAAGTATTTATCCATGAGAAAAGAAGGTGAAATTTGAAAGGATGTGAGAGGGGAAGAAAAGGAGAAATGAAGGAATATAAATGGAAAATGAGAGATACAAGGAAGTTGCACGCAGTTTATAAACTCACAGAAACACTAGTTGAGCAAGTCCTATGAAGCAGCTCTTAGTGGAGGAGAACACGACGTGAGGTTGCAAAACACTACAGAAGTGAAAGCGGTAAGGAACACTTTCAGCACTTAGAACCACAGTGGAGCCCACGCTGGTGCTCACAAAAAGAAACAGTAGAAGACAAAAAAAAGCTAGTGTGACATTCCTCATTGTAACTGGATGTATTTTAGGGTATAAATTGGTCCAGAGTTCTCCTGTCTCGGTCCAGATAGGCGAGGCCCTCCAGCAGAGCTTTGCGGAAGCCATCTCTACCCCTCTGCAGGTGGATGGGAACTTGGGCAAGTCTGCCAGCGACTGACCTAAATGCCACCTACTGAGCTAACCTCTTCTGTATCTGGGGGTGATGACTGGACAGTCCAGACTGTCCTCCAGATCTGTCCTTCGCAGTCTGTGAGCAAGTCCAGCGCATGGACTAAAGCTCTAGAAATTTCCACACTGTGCTTGTGGAGCCATGGTTATCTGGGGGCTGCCCACTCAAAGTCACTCCATTCACCCCCGAGCTGGAGAAGAGCAGAGCAGGCAGCTGCTTAGTGCTGACAAGGCTCGTGGCGGAGGTCTTGGTCCAAGAGCCTTGCCCCGGATTCATTCCACACGTCCCACCAGAGTCACCACAGTGAGATCTGTGTGGGACTCCGCTTGCTTCAGTGATAATAAAATTTGAAACTGAGGTAGCAACGCAGACCTACAGGCAAAAATTTTAGCTGAGAAGGAAAAAGAGACCGGGGAATGGGCTTTGACTTGGCGGGAAGGAAAGCTGAAGGCGGCACAGCCCTGACTGAGGAGGGCAGTCTGGTTACCTGGTGCTGGGCATGTTTGCCGCAGGAGGGCTGCCTGCCTGGCACACCTGAGGCCCGCAGTCTTCTAAGGCTGTGTACAGCCACTGACCACACAGCCCATCTCTAACAGTTTTTGCAACTTCTGGCTCACCCAAGATGCCAGTTCTGATTCTTAGAAATGCTGACTTACAGGCCTCCTTCTACGTCGATGTCCATACCAGTTGCCGGTGAGTCTGAGTCTCTGGAAGAAGACAGAAAAGGTGGAGAGACCCTCAAAGTTCACCTCGGAATAGCAGGTAGGATTCGTGGCCTGCCTGCTCATTGCGGTTTGTGCCCAGCGGTACTGCTTGATCTAAGAGAGCCCCCTGAGGCTTCTAGACTTACAGGTTTATGGGCACGGGACCTGAAATGGGCCAGCGTCACCAGAGTTTTAATCATGGCCGAGCAGTAGCTTTATGTGGTCTGTCGTGGCGTGTGGTGACAGATAGGGAGTGTTGTGGTAAGCCTGCCCCTCACACTCAGGCAGCGCGTGACTCCACTATGGAACAGGGCGCTCATGACTTCCCGCTCCACGTGCCGACAGCTGTGCCAGTGGCCTCTGCAGTGTCGCTTCTTCCTGGCAGCCTCTTTCCCTCTGTCTGTGCTTCTCAGACCCTGGTGAGCACCCAGGTGCAGGCTTAAACAGACCACTGGCGCCAGCAGCCAGGGCTAGGGACTCAGTAGATCAGGGTTGTTGACTGAAGTTGTGCATTATAAACAAGGAGATCCATTTTTTTTTCCCCAAAAACTTTCAGCAAATCAGAATTTCTTCTAAGAGTTAAGGTCCAGCCTGGAGGTACAAGCCTATAGTCCCATCAGAGGCAGAAAGATTGCTTAAAACCAGGAAGTTTGAGGCCAGCCTGAGAAACGTAGTTTAATTCTGCTCAAAAACAAAACAAAAACCAAAAATAAAAAAGTATGCAAAATGTCAGGTCGTCTAGAGCAAAAAGACAGAAGAGTTTCTTTTTATCTGCCACGTTATATGAGCAGGATGTATTATTTAAAAGAGGTTGCTGAAGAGATGGCTCAGTGGCCTAAGCACCTGCCTGACAAGCGTGAGGTCCTGAATTCGATCCCTGGTACCAAAAAAAAAAAAAAAGAAAGAAAAGAATAGAAAGATGAAGTGATGAGATTAATATCTTTACTACCTTTTCAAATATACATAGTTTCTTACAGGTAATGATGGCTCTAAAACTTCCTGAATTAAGATCAGCAAGTCCTTGGTCAGTTGTTAACTTTTTTTTTTTTTTTAATTTTATTTGTATGTGTGTGTGTGTGTGGCCAGCTCAGCCCACCAGGGGGCGGGGCTGGCTGGCATGTGGTGCTGGGGGATTGAACCGCAGTCCCTGTGCTTTGCTAAGCTTGTTCTAAGTAGGTGCTTTAGACCACTGAGCCATCCCACCAGCCCGTATGAAGCCACAGCCACAGCCCAAATTATAGCCTGGCACTAGCAACACTTAACACTAAAACAGTAGAGTGTGCTGGAGTTGATTGCTGTGTTGGGTTTTGGAGGAAGCAAGATTTCCTCAAAAACTAGTGAAATCCTGCAATTTTGTGAGAATATATAAGAATAAAATTGGCTTACTTTTATTTAAGAAGCACTAAACACAAAAACAGTACTAATTTTAAGACAGAGCTCTGCAAAATGTTATTTTTAAAAAACCCCATAATTCTTCAGTGAACTCAGATACTTCAGCATTGTCTTTTTAGTTGGGTACAGTGGCGCTCTTACAAACCCAGCACTCTGCCCGGTTGGGGCAGGGGGATTGTTAGTGGAAATCAATCCAGGATAACTTAGCAACTTAATGACACCCTGTCACAAAATAAAAAATTAAAAAGGGCTGTAGGTGTAGCTCAGCCCAAAGGCCCCAGTAACACATAACACAAAAAAGAATTTAACTATTTTTTGTTTCTCTCATTGCATTTTTCACTTTTAGTGACTTAGAGGGATCGCTGTCACTTTCTACCTGTCTTTTTGGACAGTGAGCTTGGCATAGTTGACAAACGCAGATTGTGATCCAAATTGATCACTGATTTGCGTGCAGGCGTGCTAATGCCACAATGTGACCCCTTGCAGACCTGTCAGCAAAGAGCACGTCGGTTCCCGATGAGCTGGGCGCCTGTGGACATTCCAGAACGTCGAGCTACGCCAGCCAGCAGTCCAAAGTGTCAGGTAGAGCTTACCAGGAAAATTGAGTTCTTCAGTGTTCGGGGGTGGGGAGCGGCTGTGGTGCAGGACTTGATAGCTGGCCGTGTGTCTGATGCCAGTATCCTATCCAAAGTGGCTTTTCTCTGACAGGATACAGCACGTGTCATTCCCGGTCATCTAGTTTCTCCGAGTTCTGCCACAGGAGAAATACCTCAGTGGGAAGTACCTCAACAGGAATTGAAAGCATTCTAGAGCCCTGTGATGAATTGGAGCAGAAAACAGCAGAACCGAATCTTGAAAGCGCTGATAAAGAAGATGTGGCCTCTGAAAAACTCAACAGGTATCCCTTTAGTTTAAAGAATAAATTCAAATTCCTTTTGTTTTCATGACATAATAAAAGGGAGAAAAAAAACCTGATTGTTTTTAAAGATGCCCGGTGAAACAGGATTCTGTAGAATCTCAGCTGAAGCGAGTGGATGACACCAGAGTGGATGCAGACGATATTGTGGAGAAAATACTGCAGAGCCAGGACTTCAGCCTCGACTCCAGTGCAGAAGGTGTGTGGAGGGCTGGGGGCCTGGGTTTCCGTGGTCCAGGTCGCGCAGTCTGTGTAGTGGGCAGGACGTAAGTGGTACCCACAAATGCCCCAGGACGAAGCTGTGGCTTATTTCTGAGAGTGAATATTGAATTTGGAAAATGAACAAACTGGAGTTCAAAATGATGTGTTAGGGAATGCAGTTCAGTGGCAGAGCAAGTGTTTAGCAATGCCTAGTGCTCCCGAAAAAGAGGGACATCTGAAAGAAAACTTGGCCTTCAGAGGCTGGCTCCAGGCCCCACAGTCCTTCCCTCTGTGTCTGCATCTCTGTCTGTCACACCAAGTCTGGTGTAATCCGGAGGGTTGAGGCCACCCTGGCAGAGCAGCAGTGGATGACACAGCCTTCAGCCCTCCTTCGTATTTTCCCACAAAACAATAATTTATGTGCTCCCAGTTTGAAAGGTACAATTACGCATGCCGGTGTGAAAAGCATGTCCGTCACAGTTGGAACGACAGTTGGTAGGAAGGGCTGTTTCCAATACTCAGTTAAAAGAAAATGAGCTTCCAGACAGGTGGCAAGACATAACTGCTAATAAAGCTTTTGGTTCTTTAGTTTTTAAATAAACGGAACTATGAATTAGTACAGCATGACTTAGGCGACTGTAGTCTGCGGATTGTGCTTCTGAGAGATGTTTTGTTTGTGTGTTACAGAAGAAGGCCTGAGGTTATTTGTGGGGCCTGGGGGAAGCACAGCCTTTGGCAGTCACCACCTTCCAAATAGGTACGTAGCCCAAATGGCACCTTCACACAATTCAGATGGACTGGTTAGGGAATGTCGTGAGCAGGGGCCAAAGATCTCAGGGTCTTCAGTACATGAAAGCTGGAAAACACAAGTAGCAGTAGCTACAGGAGACGAATTAACAGGTCTTAGTAGCGCTCTCACTTTTCCTTATTTTTAGAATTTCTTTTACATTATATGTCTGCTAATTTCCTTGAGTGTATTTTTAGAAGATATTAGTAAAGGGCTAGTAGAGCACCGGACAGGTTATGATATTAAAAGATATATCTAGAAGAGTTTTAGTCTTTAATATTTTAGACACAGGAAAGCAGAATTACATTTTCATCTTTTTCTGTTTTGTAGTCCTGGGCTTGAACCCAGGGCCGTATGCATGCTTGGCAGGTGTTCTACATTGAGCTGCACACCCAGCCCCAAATTGCATTTTAGTCTTTTTCTTTTTTGTCCTGGGACTCGAACTCAGGACCTTGCCCTTGCCAGCCAGGCACTGTGCTGCGAAGCCATCCCCAGTCCTCGGTGGGTAGCCCTGTATATTGTCAGTGTTATGGACCTACGCGGTAGTACATGCTAGTGATTAACTTTTCTGTACTCACTCTTCTCTAACCCATGGAGTCTCACACAGCTTCCACGTAGTTGTGGCACTTTGGGAAGGCCGCAACTCCAGAAGCAAGCTCATCTGCTAGACGTAGCACCTTGCCTCTGAGCAAGGTCGAGCTCCCCACGCCCACAGTGCTCGCTCCAGCAGTGTTCCACAGAAAGGTGTGGATCTTGGAATATTTGCACTTTTACCAGCTGAGCTTAAAATCTGAGATGCTCTGAAACCTTTTAAGCATCACGCAACCCTCAGAAAGCTTCGGATTTTGACAGATCTCAGGTTTTTAGGTTAGCAGCACACCCTGACTAGAGCGGAGTGGTGAGCACAGAAGTGCAGGAGACCCCTGGAACTTGAGCGCTCCCTGCTCCCTGCTCCCATCACCCCCGCGACTCAGCACTCTGTTTAATGTTGATGAACAGCCTGCGTGGCTGCAGAGAGAGGGCAGGCGCCGGCCTAGGGAGCCCCGGCCAGGCAGTTGCTCTCTTAGGCTTAAAACTGGAAAAATTTAGATTTATTCTATCAGTAGTCATTTTATTGAGCATTTCCTCCACGTCCACCCAAAGGATACAAAGAGTCTGGCAGCAAATGCTCCCCTCAACAGCAGGCTAGGAAAGGCCCCACAAAGATGCTGTCGAGAAGGAGTTTGAAAAAGGGGATTGTAGCAGCAGTAACTGAATTCAGGCCTTTCATTAACATTTATTAGCCTGTGCACTCACTAAATCCAGTAAGGACTGAGCCAGCGGGTAAGTAAGGACACAGGCAAAAACGCCTTTTACCCCTGCCCGCTAATGGTCGCACAGTGATGGGAAGCATCTGGAGATGAGAACCCAGACCCCTCTTGGGTGTCACAAAGTGTCAGCGCTGCAGGGAAACAAATGCATGGTGAGGTTTTCATTTTTAACTAAGCAGCTCACCACTTGGCTCGCGTGCCAGCAGAGCCAGTTTCACTCTCATGGGTTCGCCACCACTCTCTAGCCCGCGAGACTGGTCGGCTGCAGCCGGTGGATCGATCGGCATGCCGCTGCCTGTTTTTATGAAGCAAGTGACATGGGAACACGCCTGCCCCTGCTTACTGTCTGTGGCTGCTTCAGTGCTGTGATTCTGAGAGAACAGCAGGCCCGCACCAGAGAGACATCCAGAGAGAGCCGACACTTGAAGAGTCTTTGGGAGAATCAAAGATAAATGGGGGTTTGTAGGGCAGATAGGGGAGGGCAGGTGCTCCTGGTACTAGGAGCAAATAGAATGACTCTGTGGTATCGTATGATGAAGCCAGGCGTGGTGGCGCACGCCTGTCGTCCTAGCAGTTGGGAGGCTGAGAGAGGATTGCTGCGAGTTCAAGGTTCGCCAGCACTACATAGGAAGACCCTGCCTCCAAAAGTAAAATTAGATGGTAATAATTATGCATTGAGCAGTTACCAGCCATGCGCCAGACTTAGGCACGTGCCTGTGGTCACTCCTTGCCCTGTCTCCCATCAGTGCTCACCACACACTGTGGTATTTAAAAAGTGGAAACAAAGACACAAAGTAGAGATCATCTGTCCCAACATCTTGAAATTGCTAAGTGATGAAACCAAGAGTCGCGCTGCTGTCTGAGAACGAAGCCCACGGCACTTCAGCGCTGCACCGTGGTGACCGAGGAATGATGTTACACAGCCTGCTCAGCAGATTGCTGGCCAACAGGCTCTTCTGAGGAGCGGGCCGTGTGGAAGGGGCTCTGAGACGTGGCTGGCAGGTGTCTTGGAACCCAGCTGTAAGGGGCCTCGGTCAGCGGTACCGTTCCTTTCTCCCAGGTACAGTGGGAGGCAGGGAAATGACTTGTCGGGTTGGTGTTTTAGGAAGGCAGCCTAGTTTGATTAGAGGAAAGAGGCTGATAGCAGAGAAGCAGGTAGAAGTATGATTCCAACCATAAGGAGTTTAAATAATGATCAGAATGTGACCCCTCTCATCAGACTACCTGGGATCGAATTCTGACTCTTCACTCTTTACAGATGTATTTATCCTCTGTAACAGTCTAAGTTTCCTCACCTGTAAAATGAGAGAGACCAGTTATCTAGGGCTGGGGATGTAGCTCAGTATCAGTAGCACAGCGCTTGCCTGGCAGGCATCAGGTCCTCATTTTGATTCCCAGTACCAGAAAATAAACAAGTTACCTACTTCATAAGGTTGGGTTTTTTTATGAAGATCACATTATATGACTTACAAAAAATAACACAGCATCTGGCACACAGAAAGCTCTGAGCATGTTCTCTTCATCAGTATTGTTATTTAGGACAAAGATGACTTCCAATTAAAAACTCGTGTAGAACTTAGCTCGGTCATCTAAGTGCCTGCCTGGAAGGCACAAGGACCCAGGTGCAGTCCCTGGTACCGCATGCTGTGCTGGCCACCATAAACAAACATAGTGGCACACTCCTGTAATCCCAGTGCTGGGGAGGCTGAGACAGAAGGATCACTGTAAGTCCGAGCTACATAGCAAAACTCTGTACCAAAGAAATAGAACTGAGGACATAAGGGCATTTATATAGTAAAATAATTCTGGTTGCCACCCCCATTCCAGATGAATGTTAGAATAATCATCTGGAACTGGGGATGCAGTTTATTTGGGAGAGTGCTTGCCTAGCTAGCAGGTGCAAGGCCCTGGATTCAGTCAATAGAATAGACAAGACATAGACTCAAAGGTAGAACAGATCATCCAGTTGAAAAAGTCTATAAAGTGTGCGATCAGGGTTGAGGTACATAAAAATTCCCCATTACAAGCTGCAGAAAGGCCAAGAAAAGTCAGAATGTGTCCTGGGGAAAAGAGACTAGGCCAAAGGGAGAGATGTTGGATTTCTGATTTAGCCATCACAACCCAGCTTAGTAATGATCTTGGCAAATCACATCTCTTACTTGCTAGCTGAACAACTGCATCATTGGAGTTCTCAGCACGGGCTCTGAGATTAGGTTGCTTGGGTTCTGAACAGTACTTCTAGCTGCGTCTTCTCTGCCTCAGTTTCCTCACTGCTAATGGAAGCTGCCTCATAAGAATCGTAAGATGTAAAATAAAAGAGGTAAGATGTATACGTTGCAGAACAGTGGCTGGGGGCGTGGCTCCGCCTCAGCCCGCCCTCAACGGCTGCCATGGCAATGGCACCCCGCCTCCGCCTCTGCCTCCAGAGGGCTGAAGGGGATGCTAAAGGTGATAAAGCCAAGGTGAAGGATGAACCACAGAGAAGATCTGCAAGGTTGTCTGCTAAACCAGCTCCTCCAAAGCCAGAGCCCAAGCCTAAAAAGGGGCCAGCAAAGAAGGGAGAGAAGGTACCCAAAGGGAAAAAGGGAAAAGCTGATGCCAGCAAGGATGGAAATAACCCTGCAGAAAATGGAGATGCTAAAACAGACCAGGCACAAAAAGCTGAAGGTGCTGGAGATGCCAAGTGAAGTGTGTGCATTTTTTATAACTGTGTACTTCTGGTGACTGTACAGTTTGAAATACTATTTTTTTATCAAGTTTTATAAAAATGCAGAATTTTACTTTTTTTTAAGCTATGTTGTTAGCACACAGAACACTTCATTGTTGTTTTGGGGGGAAGGAGCATCTGTCAGTAGGACAGTGTCTCCAAAGCTGGACTGATGTGGGGAAGGTACCTTTCCCTGCTGGTTCTGAGAGACTTCCTCCTGGCTCCCAGGAGGAGGGATTCCCTGATGTTACACATGTGGCCACTTTGGCATAAATGCCTTGTGGTACGGGACAGCTCCCAGTTCATTTTATGTCTTCCTTTCCTCTGCCATCAGCATAGGCTTAACTCCCTTAAGCCCAGAGACCTATTGGGATCTAATTCCCGAAAGTGATGTTACCAGTGTGTCAGGCAATCTGGACTCGCCAGTAATGCTGAGGTGGTGTCCCACAAGAACAATTGATTTCCTTTTCTAGATTGTGGCTCTTCAGATTGGTAATTCTGCCATTTTCATTTCCCGAAAGTCAAGGTCGGCTTGTGAAAAGTTGTTGAACAACATGCCAAATGTGAAATGTCAACCCTCACTCTAAACCATCCCTACTTCAGAGCCTCAAATGCAGACTTCATTGGATTTTATAGTGGCTTTCTGATTTTTGGTAGTCCATCCAAGAAGGGAGTTTGAAAGTTGTCGTATACTGTTAAAGATTGTGTGCCCATGTCCTGCCTGAAATACCATGATTGTTTATGAAAAGTATCTTTAATAAAGCTGGATACAGTTTAGCTTGGAAAAAAAAAAAAAAAGAACAGTGGCTGGCACTCAGCAAACGTTCAAGTGACCTGTGAGCACCAGCTGAGGGCCTGTCTTGGAGCATCACTGTGGAACCTGGTCTGCTTGAGGTACCCACCGTGCTGCTGGTACGTGTGGGCGTGCAGTGACGTGGATCGTTAGATCAGCTCTGACGTGAACTGTAGTGGCGCAGCTGAAACCAGAACTACTTCCCAGAGAAAGGAAAAAGCATGAGAAGTCACAGTTGAGGAAAAGCAGACCCGGCAAGTGGGCAGAGCAGGAGCACACAGGGACACGGACGGCTGTCTGTAGTAGCGTGTCCGAGGCCGTGATTCGCTCTAGCAGGCCCAGGGCCTCCCACAGGGTCGCTGGGCGCCTGCTTGTCAGCCTTGGGAACTTTTCATTGTTTCTGGCAAGATTTTTTTTGTTTATGTTCTTGTGTTTATGTTTTTACTTGCCTATTAATGCCACTGTCTTTTATCTCTGGCTACTTTTAGGATTTTCTCACTAGCAGTTTGTCGTGATGGGCCATGGTGTGTTTCTCTTTGTGTTTATTCTGCTTGGAGTTCCTTGAACTTTGGGGATCTGTGTATGGGTATATAATTTTCATCAGTTTTGGAAATAATCCGGCCATTATATTCTCCCATCCTCTCTTCTGGTACTCGGACCCTCAGTGGTAGCCCCAGCCCCTCTGAGCTTGGACCTCTGGCTCCTCGGTAGACAGGCAGTGTTGGTTCTCCCTCGCTGCAGGCTTGGAGAGTCCTGAAGGAACCTGCTTCAGGCGACAGCTGAAGCCCCAAGGAGCCGTCTCCCTGGCTTCCTTCCTCTTGGGAGTAGTGCGTACTGCCTGTCAGTCCTGCATGTGTGCTCTATTTTGCATGTTCTGATTTCTGACCGTTTAAGGCAGGAGGACCAGTCCACTTCCTGTTACACTGTCGGAAGCTCACCAGGGCTCTTTCAAACTCGGATTATCATAGCTGTGGGTGGGTGTGCACCGGCGCTCCGTTGAAGATTCTGGTCTTCTATACATTGCATCTGTAGGAAGAGCTGGCTCGAAGCAGTCAGCTAAGCCCAGCTTGGCCCGTGGCAGAGTGGTAGCCCCTGCCTTAGCACCACCTTTGAGCGTCTTACCTTAAGGGACAAGACCAGAACTGGAGGAGGCTCCTGGCCTTGCTGAATTCTGGCGTGCTCAAAGTGAAATGTCAGGTACTAGGGTGGATCCCAGCGTTTTTCCAAGTGAGGAAACGGGAAACCTGTGCCTGGTGATCACTTTCAGTCGCAAGTCCCTCCCACATGGGCTGTGTGCAGCCCACCAGGTCGGCTCCTGGTCACCTGGGGTGCTTCCAGGGAGGAGGGATGATCCAACTTAGAAATACAAAGCCAGCTGTCATCTAAAAGACCCCATGTATTTTTACAAGCTTTAGAAAACCTTTATCCTGGCAGACCAGGCAACAATAGATGGAAAACACATGTTCATTCTATTATGACCTAGAGCCAAAGTACTGAGAGCCTCACAATCATAACAACAAAAAGCCTGTGTTGCCGGAGCCACTCCTTGAATATCCTCAGAGCTAGTTCATTCAGAAAGCTCGCAAATGCTAAGCCTCTTAATATTCTCCATGTAGGGGCTGGCGAGATAGCTCAGCAGACCAAAGCGCCTGCTTAGCCAAGCTTAGGCAAGCGCACGGAGCTGGGTTCAATCCTCAGCACCACATGCTGCACCAGCCCTGCCCCCCTGGTGGGCGGAGCAGGCCACAGAGTTCCGCCATAGGGGCATACACCTGTAACCCCAGTGCTGGGGAGGCTGAAAACAGGAGGATCACTGTGAGTCTGAGCTGCATAAGGAGACCCTATAACAACCAAATGCATTTAAAAACATGTATTTTTTTTCAGGGTCACAGCCATAACCCCAAAATACAGTGGCCTGGCTGCTCAAACTACACCACCCTCCTTGCCTTTCCGTCGAAGTTAACTGACGTGCACGTTTTACACTCATGTTCCCTAGGGAAAACTTAGTCACACAGCCACCTACCTACAGGGGCGCTCAGGAAATGTGGTGTCTAGCTCAGTAGGCTTGTAACCCTAAACTGTGGAGAAGGGGAAAACGAATTTAGGGGAACAACCAACAGTCTGCTACTCCAAATTAGTGAGGAAATAAACCCATTTTCAAGATCGTTTTCCCTTCAAATTGCCATTACACAGGTATAATTTACAACAGCAAGCACGTATGAGAACGTTTGCAGCCTGGTATGGTAGCACACACCCAGAGTTCCAGCTAGTCAGGAGGCAAAGGCAGGAGAATCAAAAGTTTGAGGCAAACCTGCTCAAAACAAAAGTCCTGTAGATGTCCCTCAGTGGTGGAGTGCTTGCCTAGCATGAGCAAGGCCTTAGGTTCAAGGCCCAGTGCTACCAGACAGACAAAAGACACTTTGGCATACTCATCAAAAAACCCTAGCGCTGGCCCCCACCTCTTAAAGGTCCACAGCACCTCCTAAGATCATCACCGCTGGGGCTCAGACTTTGCAGATGAAATTTAAGGGCCACTGAACATCCAGACCATAGCCAGAGTCTTCTAACCTTATGAAAAGGGAACAAAAACCCAATGAGTGACCTCTTTGCTTCCTGTGCACGCAGGAGAAAGGTGAGGCAAGGCTGCAGTCGGCTTGGGCCGTGGTGGCAGCCATCTGCAAGCTGGGATGAGGGCCTTCACCGGACACCATCCCTGATGGCATCTTGATCTTGGGTTTGCAGCCTTACAAGACAGAAAAAAAATAAATAAATTTCTTTTGTTCAGTAGCCAAAAAAAAAAAAAACCCTAGCACTGGGTGCTGTGGCATGTGTAGTTGCAGCTCCTGAGAAGGCTGCGTTTGGAGAATTTTGTACATGCAGGAGCTCTAGACCATGGGGGAGAGGGTGGTTACTAGAAAGATACGTTAAAATGTTATATACTACTCACCGTTATAGCAAAAGACTGTCATCATTAATCCATGTAGCGCCTGACTCCCAGCTGGATGAGACTGATAACAGGATTTATACATAAACACATTTGAAGAGAATGTTCCTTGCCACAATCTCTGTTACTATAAATGTTACTGTAAGTATTGTGTGAAATCTGTAAATATTACTAGATTACTATGGAAATAAGAGAGTCAAGGGCTAGACTAATCCAGTGTATTATAAACATTTACTATTCCAAATATTTTCAATCTGTGATACTTTTTTTTTTTTTAATTTTTTATTTATTTATTTATGTGTGTGTGGCCAGCTCAGCCCACCAGGGGGCGGGGCTGTCTGGCATGTGGTGCTGGGGGATTGAACCGCGGTCCCTGTGTTTTGCTTAGCTTAGCTTGTTCTAAGTAGGTGCTTTAGACCACTGAGCCATCTCACCAGCCCCTGTGATACTTCTAAACCCCGTAGAAAAAGGCTTACTGCACCATCTCTGAGGTCGAGTTACATAGGACAGTTCAAGAACTGCAGCTCCATGTCTGACGCTTTCTGTGCACTTTCTGCTTCAGGGTGGGGTCTGGAGCTTATGAACAAGTTGTGATCAAACGCTAGGAGCCGCGCCGGCGACCTGACGCTTCCCGTGGACTTCAGGTATACGCAGTGGGTGGAACAAGCATTTTAGGGCAGCACTTGAGAAAAATGTATGGTTTTTATGAAATTTTTATGATTTTTTTTAAACAGGATCTAACTATAGTTCGGGCTGGCCTTGAACTCACATCGATCCTCTTGCCTCAGCTCCCATGTGCTGGATTATAGCCATGTGCCACCACATCTGGTTAAGAAAAAACATACCTATTTTTAAAAATGAAGTCCATCTATTAAGAGGGAAGCTGCCATTTAGTTTCTTCTCCAAAAGCACCTGCCACCGATCTTTCTCACCTGCTCAGGGGAACATCTGTCTTCGTGGCGGTCACAAAGCAGTACACCAGGGCTGGCCGCAGAGTCTGCTGCCCCTGAGGTCCTGGACATGTGGGGGAGGCTGCAGACACACCGAGGTTAACTCGTATGCAGGTGTGAAATCTGGGTCGGGTGTTAAACAGGTTTAGACTCTTACGTTTTTTATTTTAATTTTACAATAAAAAATATGTGAGTATAACTTAAATCCTATAAATTCTGTCAAGATAATTATAATTCTCATGAAGGAAACTTTCCATACTATATACTAGCTACATTACTGAACTAAGTCTGTTAATTCCTTTTGATGCCATAATTGGTATGAAGTAGAGGAAAATGTTATATACTATAATACGTAAAACCCTTACTGAGAATTGTAAGTGTGTCTTCCATAAAGCAAATGAGCAGTGTATTTAAGTCTGAGAAGTGAATGGATGTAACTCATATTGTACAATATTCAGGAGATGGTTACTGGTCATTAATATCAGATGAGCTGCAGAACCCACCCTATAATTCCAAATAAGCTTGCAGTCACCATGTTAGGCTGCCATAAGGCGCCTAGGGGAACAGCTGTTTTAAAATTGCTGAATATTCAGACCTGCTGGTTTCAGCATTCAAGCTTAGAAGAAGAGGAAACTGGTGATATGAGCAACAGCACAGCCTTCTCTGTGAATTCAGCCTTACCTGGACCTGGAACTCACTCTGACCGGCAGAGGACAGAGCCGGGGTGCTGCCCCGTGTCCTGGGCGGTGCAGGGCTCGCAGTCTGCTCAGTGGCAGAGCTGCTCATTCTGAGGCAAGAGTGGAGTGTAGCATACATCAAATATGGCTTTTAGAATGGAGCTACTGTAGCCTAGGTATTTTCACATTGGGGAAATAAAATTATTAGAATACAAATTATTTTATCAAAACAGAGGATTTGGAGAAAAATGTAGTCTTTCATGTTAGGGCTTTAATATTTCAAGAATTGGACATTCCATATTAATTCAGTACCACCCTTTAATAAATTCTGAAACTGTTAGATGACACCCTGTTTCAGGATATTTTTAATACTAAGAGAGAGGGTTTTATGAGTCTTTAGTTACGTACACTTTTTTTTTCATGGGTGCGGTGCTGGGGACCACGCTTAGCTACACCCCAGCCCTTCCTTATGTTTTCTTTTGAGTCCAAGTCTCACTGGGTTCCCCAGGCTGGCCTGGAGCTCACAATCCTCCTGCTGCCTCCTGACTAGCAGGGATTACAGGAGGCGCCACCGTGCCTACAGCTTCATTTTTATTTTTGCAGATATATTTTAAAAAGAATTATGGAAAGAAAGTTTTAAATAGAGATGCAAAGATGTTAAGAGAAATTGAAATTTTTAAAAATATATTTTTCTATTTTCAGAATATTATTTCTAGGCTGTATTTTTTATTGGCACTTCTGCAAATAATTTCATAGTTTTAAATGTAAAACCACAGTAGATTGGAACTGGGGACTTGGCTCAGGGCACAAGCACCTACCTGGCAAGCGCAAGGTCCTGAGTTTGATTCCCAGTACCACAAATAAATAGATAAAGATAAAATAAAACAACAGTAGATTGTAGTTCAGTGAGGTTATGAAAGGTGTCAGACATATGAAAGGTCCTGTAGTCAGGACAGTGCTTCTGTCCTCCCAAATTTGACTACGCCAGGCCTGTGTCATTATATGAGATGAATTCTTGGCATTTAAAATGGTACAGAATTCTTCCATGAGCCAAAACCAGCAATAAAACTCTCCTCCATTGAAAAATCCAGTTTAAAATGCTTTTTTAAAAAAATCTAAATAGATTTTGAAAAGCATAAACGCCTTCTCGAGGGCCGAGGAGATAGCTCAGTAGAAAGGGCCTGAGTTAAAAAAAAAGCCTTCCCTTCGCGGTAGCAGCCAACAAGTCCATCTTGGTTACTGGAGACAGTGAGCAGGAGGAAAGCAGGCCGCTGTGTCCTCTGGGCTCATGACGGCGCCTGCCTCAGGCTCGCGCCATGTGGCATTCTCTGCACACGCACTTCAGGGCAGTCCTATAGAATACCAGTCAGAGTCCGCCTGGTCTGTGGCACTGTGACTTCCTTAACCAGGCAGCTGTTGGAAGCAGCAGCTTACTAACTACCGCGTCTGTTTTTGGGTTTTTTTGTGTTTTGTTTTGTTTTTTGTTGTTGTTGCTTTTTTGTATTTTAGGGAAGGGTCTACAGGGTAATCAGGGTCTCACTACTAAATTGGACTTCAAAAACAAACTTTTGATTGATTTTTTTTAAAACAGTGAAGTCAAATTTCAAATGGTCAAACTGTGGAGAATTTGCAGATGGGTAAAACTTTTTGTAATTCTATCCTAAAGCAAAAGACAGACAGCCCTAGACGGCTGTGTCGGTGCTGAGATATGACTCTCACTGCTGTCAGAAGAACGCGACAGCAGCTCGTGGCCGGGACAGACAGGCTGCAGGGGCAGGGCGGGCCCTGAAGACAAACAGCTCGTGTAGATTAGGACCCCATGACCTAATAGTCCTGAGCAACAATCCTAAATTCCATTGCCCGTTCTAGCATAAAATTATCAGAATATCCAAACTACGTTTTTCTAATAAAATTCAGAGCCACAGAAGTTGACCACTTCACCCCTTTGTTGCTAGAAAGTAGAAAAATCTTCACCTAACTTCTGCTCAAAATATAGTCAGACGGGCATGACAGTACATGCCTGAAATCCCCACCGTTGGGGGGCTGAGGCAGGAGAACCATTACATGTTCAAGGTCAGCCTGAACTGGGCTACGTAGTGAGTTCAAGGCCAGCCTGAACTACATAGTGAAACCCTATCTTAAAAAAAAAAAAAAAAAAAAAAAAATTCAGGCAGCAGTGACTTTTTAATAAATTGGAACATCCATAATAATCTCAGACTTTCAAATTTCTATACTATCTAAACTACTTTGTGAACTCAAAATAGTTTATTATATCTCACAGTATTATTGTATATCTCACTGAAGTACTCAAAAATGTGTTAGGGTTCCTGCATATGTAACAAATCCCTGAGAGACAGGCTGGACTCGTATGATGGGGTTGTATTGTATTTTTTAAGTCTGTAATCTGAGCAGTTCAGAAATTCCTGGTCAGTTCCCTTAGATGGTACGTCACGTGAACATAATCAAGTACGTTAGCTCAGTTGTGTTCTGCTGCTGCTCGTAGGCTAGCTTAGGTACTGTCATAGTGTTAATAGCCAAGATGTTAAAGAATCTGAAATCTAAAATATAAAAATTGAAACAGTCCTGTAGGTAAGCCTCTTTTAAGACTGCTCTGACAATAAAGGTCTTACTCCCTTATTATATCTGATTTCATAAGATAATGTATACAAAATGTTTTAAATGGCCGTGTGGGTCATCTTCCCATACAAGAAAATTGACACCAAATATAGTCTGTAAATTAAAAATTGTATCAGTTACAAGCAACATATTCTGCACTGTCAAGTGTTTATCGTTATCTTATGTATATAACAAAAAAATCTTTGCTGATATTCATTGGCCAAATTTCATGCAAGGGAAGACATTTAAGAGTTGACACAAACTTCTTTTTTGGAAATACCTGCTGTGCGGGGTCGCCTTCCCCTTGGCGTTCAGCTGCTCCTTCGGCGGTGCGTGTGCAATCCTCCCAGCCTCAGCAGGGTTTATGAAGATGTCGGTGCCGCTGGGGTGGGGCGCAGCGGCACAGCGGCACAGCATCCGGGCCCCAGGCTTGGTCCCCAGCTCCGCCAAGTTTATATTCACAGAAGTGATTCCTTCAGTATTCTGTCTAATACTTGGAGAATGACCTTCATGTTTACATGTATTTCTTTCTTTCAATTGTACAATGAAAAATCCAGGAAATGTTTCCTTTTTTAATAAAAACAAATGTTTTATTTGTAAAATGTTTGTAATAATGTAAAGGTGATTATATATGGTTAATAAAAGTCACATCTTAAAACTTGAGATGCTCTTCCTATTTAAACTACTAGTTAAGGCCGGGGAGATGGCTCAGTAGAATAAGCACTTGCCTGGCAAGCATAAAGGCCTGAGTTCAATCCCTGGTTCCACCAAAAAAAAAAATAAATTACTAGATAAGACGCCTCACATAACTCTGCAAGGCAAGGAAACAGAAGTGAGCATCCAGTGTAACTTGCCCCTCAGAGTTTCCTCTCCTTGCCCCGCCTGCACCGGCTGACTTGGACCCGCAGCCCGCGCAGCAGTGCAGGCACGGGCCTTGCAGGAAAGCAACCCCGAGTCTGGCTCCACACCCCGGAAAGGATCACCAAGATGACTCTGTACCACATGGTGGCAGGACTTCTGATTCACCTCCTCAGGCCACCCTATCCTTAGCATGGAAGGGGTGTGAGCAACTGCAACAGGTTGTGACACAGAACATGTGAGTTAATGTGAAGAATGTGCCAAGAACTTAGGACGTTTTTCTTTAAAAAGAAAATGCATATACAATTTGGTAAATGCTGAGTGCTTTATCAAAGCAAAATTTACCTTTGTGTAGCATCTGCATGCATACATGTATTCTTGTCATATGGATGGTTTATTAACTGGCCAGTACTGGATACCCATTCACCAAATGATAGTTCACCCATCCCCCCCCCGGCCATTTTGGTTTTAGTACTGAGAGTTGACCCCAAGGAGCACGGAAATGCATCCCAGCCCTTCTTATTTTTTAATACAGGGTCTTGCCCAGGGCCACCTAACTTGCTCCTCACCTGCCCTAACCTCCTGAGATTACATGCCCTTTCTCCCCTCCCTTTTTTTGTGGCACTGAGGATTGAACCCAGGACCTTGTGCATGCAAGGCAGAACTGTACCACT